CTGTTAATGGTTAACGCTCGATACCACAGTCTAGAAATGTTTGAAGGTTGAATTATATTGACAAAACAGAATCAATGGTTTTGTAGAATAAAAATATTTATCTTTGGTCACAGTGAATAGTTTTAAGTCGAGTACTGTTTTCGTACTGTTGACTAGTATGTTTGGAAGCTATCCGCTCAAAAATATTATTTACTGGAGTTTCTGACAATAATAAAATGCTGAACGGAGAGCGCGCTTTTATGTTGAACACATAATAGATTGTTTACTACCAGGGTTAAAAGAGTCCGGGCAAGTCTAGGCAAGCCTATTGTTCCTATTGAAGTATTCAAAACAACTATGAAATCATAGTACCCCGGAATACATATGACATCATCTTCGGAAAATAACTAAAACCTGTCAAACCGGTTATACCAACCATGACATCATCCATCTAAAAATAGCACATGACCTTATCTTTATGAGATTCCTGCGCATTTTATTCATGAGATCAAGACTATAGTCTATGACGTCATCGGCGTTAATGTATTCCTGCTCACGCTAATGAGATTCCTTCTCAAAAAAGAGGTTAATTTCATCCCTCCTATACTACTGTCCTTGTCGTCATAACAGTAAAGAACAGTTACCGATCCTGCGACTGAACGCTTTCGGGGAAACGATGAATCTCCATCAGTCGCGGCTGAAACCTGCTTCTTTGAAGAAGGGGGGATTGTCAGTTTCGCAGTTGGGGGTTAACTCGCTTCTGGAACCTGTGCTCAGGTGACCTGCAGAATTCCTAAAAAAGTTTCCACTAGGTCCTGTGTTTGGTTGACAAGCATTACTTGCTATGGTGGTTGCCGAGGAAATAAGACATGCTGTAGAATTATGTTTTTCCCTTGCAGCTCTAATCCTTTGTATCAGTTGTGTTTTTTTTCCAGCTTTTACTGTAGGGTTCGCCCATTTCTTCTAGCACTTCTCTCAAAAAATGAACAGTCATAAATTCTGGGTTGCATTCCTTCATCATTTTCCTTTCTTCTCTTTTCTCGATCTCTTCTTTCCTCTCTCTTTCTTTGTCCATCAGCTGCAAACGTGGCAAATTCTTTAAAACATCTCTCAGGTCCACATTGACTGGCCATACTGGTCAATTGTGTTACACTTACTCTTACGACCACTTTTAAAATTGAACGAACATGACACCAACGAAAGTTGTTAATGGCTTCTAACTTCCAAGCAAAAGAATCTTCCTTCAAAAAGTTAAGTATTCGAAAACAAATAGTAACTTTTTCCGATCTCTGTGAATCAGAACGCCACTCAAAAACAGGAAAGTTCGATTTCAAGGAAGGCGATCGAAAATTTGGATGACAAGGCCAATATGCAGTCTCTCTGACGGATAACCACAATGCAACAATATCCCTGAGGTAAGTCCCAGTTTCAACCCGTTGAGGCGCAAAAAGTTTTTCCACTTTTTCGTAAAAATCATTTCGGGCGGATTCCATCGAACGTGCTAATCGTGAAGTGGCTGGACGGTATACTTTGCCCTCCTGTAAGGACAGAAATTCTGTAATGTGGTACAATTGATCCTCATACTCCACGTAATTTGGACGGATACAACAATCAATTGTGCGTGGCATATTCCTAAAGCTTTTCCTTGACTAACTGGACATGATTGAGGTGTTGGTGCACTAGCTAATGCCGGTGTTGATGGAGAGGTACTTTTTCTCGCCTTAGAGAAAAATTCAGTCATTTGGCGACATCCTGAAAAACAAATAGAAACGATTTAGTTACAGGAATCAACTTCGTAAGACGTTGCAGCTGAATCCTGGTTAGCCCACGCAAATGCTTAGAACTAGCAGTTATCGCACATACCCAATTCTCAGTTAACTACTGTTTTTTCGGCCACATATCAGTTAACTACTATTTTTTTGGCCAATTCTCAGTTAACTACTAATTTTGGTTAGCTATTAACTTTCACTTTCCTACAGCGAATATTATTCTGTCGTAACCCGAATTTTCCTTCTTTCTGCAAGTCTATCACTTTTGGGGGTTGGCCTAATAAAATCAAGGTATAAATTTACATGAACTCTGCCACTAGTACAATTTATTAGTAACTGAAGATATAAGTCGTATAACCATCAATATAACACCAGCCTCATAGATCCCGACGCACCAGTCATAATCTCGTACTGATCTTCCCGACATGGTCATGCATAGTCACCTTCCTCGGCACTTTCACTCTCTGATCGGAATCGGTCTTGTAATAATCTGGTTGCTGTATGTCCTGTATCTTGTTGTTGGCCTAAGTTTCAATCCATTTTTAATCCCTGCAATCCACAGATTGCAACAGACGACGAGAAACATTATCAATGCCAAAATATAGTCTTAAACAACAAAACTGAACCATTATTTATGAAATTCAATTGGTGAATTCAATCACTGTTTACTTACGCTTTCTGTTTGTCAGATATTGCCCTGGTGTGCCTTTTGCACATAGTAATATAAGCTAATGTGCCACCTGGTCATAGGCAGGACAGAAAAATGTCAGAAAACAGCATTTCTGTTCGCAAAACTTTGTTGCTTCCATTAACATTAATATAATATCACTTAACTGTTAACTTTTCATTTGTCAGTTAAGTACTAATTTTTTGGCCAATTATCAGTTACCTGTTAACCCCATTTGCACCCTCTTTATTCGCCTTTACGTGTGTTTAGGTCAATTCCTCTACTTTTGTTCGCTGATTTCCTTATTTTCGTCTGAAAATTTCTGATCATCTGAAGGTGAGAAGTTTTTTTTTTTCAACTTTATATTGAATTACGCAAATTCACAGCTCAAATTCAAGATACAGGCGTTCAGATTTTGAAGAATAACATCTTTATTTTCTAGATTACAGTTGAAGTACCGGCCCAAATTTGATCAATTGACTCATTGTTATACACTGTTTACTGTTCTACATGTAGGCGACACTGGTAAAAACGAGGTAGAGCTAAAAGAAGTTGAAGTCTCCCCAGTGTCAATCGCACATGAAAATGACTGAGCGATAGCGCGGTTTCGGTTGCCGTTTTTGCAAAGGAAGTCATCAACCTATCTCAAGGTACTCTGTCTTCGCTTCTCAATGGGCCACCGGAGGCATTTCCCTCAGGCGCTGGACACGAGCCGTGGCAAAAAATGAAGACATTTCTGACGAGAACTGAAGAGCGGCAAAAGCTATCTGCTAAAAAATCATGAAAGATAATATAATTTTTTACTGAGTTTTCATTGAATTTAAAGTAGATCCTTTGCTTTTTTATTATTATCACTATTTTTGTCTTTTCGGGAAGACTATGACAAAACACTGGATAAAAGGGGCAATGTGGTCGCACTTTCCTCAGGATTTAGTGAGGAACTTTCTTTTTTCTTGTTTTACTTTCGTAGAGCAAAAGAAACCAAATGATGATGCCGGCACCAGCCACTCTGAAACTTCTAAAAAACGGAAGGTTTTCCAGAAAGTGGAAAATTCGTGCATGGATCCGGTTTTGAAGGACTCGAACGGCCTGCCGTCTGCCAGCATGACAGAAGGGCTCGCGGAGTCAATGGACTTGACAAAGAGCCAGGTAATAAAAATGATAAAGTTCTCACCTTTCGGTCTTGACATTTTTACGTTGTTTTCCTCGTCTAGTATCCATCCTGCTTTTATTTGGTGGTTCTTTTTCCCAGTGTGACGTTTTAGTAACGAAACGGCTTGAAAAGAATTCTGGAATTTTAACGTTGCTTGACAAGCCTCACAATTAGAGCTACTTTCAAAATTATTTTGCGATGAAATCGCCGAGTATCCCAAAGAATTTAGTTGTTCTTGAATGGCAGTGATACTTGTGTGAGGTGCGCAGTATGTGGGAGAAAAGCTAAACGATAAAGTGACCAGAAGGTGAAGTAAGACAGTGATCGACATCATTGAAAATGGATGAAATCGCCTAGCTTTCCATTAACTTGACTGAGTTGGCACACGGCCTGCACTGCACACGCTAGCAGCGGCTCTGTGTCAATGCCGATTTTTTGTTGTGCTCTCCCGTGTGGCTCGCGGTCATCTTTTTAAAAAAGAGGAGTGACATTTTGCAGGAAAGTGTAAAAAGGAGACAGTTCTTGACTAGTGCTACTACTACGGTTATTTACATTTTTATTTATTCCACAGGTTACCATTTGGTTTTAGAACCATCGCAGGCTGTCAAAAGAGGGAAAATATGTACCGAGACAGTACAGTCAGACAGCTGAGTCACAGTAAATAAACAAAATAAAGATAGCGAATGGTCATAAAATATTATTTCGTGTCATTGCTCTGTTCATATGAAAAAATCATAGCCCATTTTAATGCAGTTTCGGAAGTGCTTCATTTAAGTAGCAATAATATGCACTTTTTGACTGTGTGGGAGGGCCTGATGGGAGAATAAATGCGAAAAAAAAATATTTAAAATAAAGGCGAATGTCTCTAGCTATGATTCCTGGGAACGATAATCACTTCTGAGCTGCTTTGTCACTGTTTACTGTGCTTGTCACCTTTGCCGCCCGCCTGAAATAACTTTTTGCTACTCCATAAATCACTCTCGGGACTTCCACACGGAAGATCGAGGTGGACGTGAGCGTCTGCGCAGACATATAGGGAAAGACGAAGGAAAAGAAATAACAACAAGCTAAATCGTGTTTGAGCTACGACTGCGTCCCAGGTCAGCTGAATCTTTGCAATGAACTCGAAGCTAAATAAAAAAAAACGAGTAACCATGCAGAGCAGCATCATGATTTTCGCGCACTTCATTCCCTTCAAAACTTTGTCTGTTCTCTCCTTGCAGCTTTGTTTAGAACCTTTTTTAGTCATTGTTGACTGGAGCCTTGTTTTTAACCTACGAGCTGCCGAAAAGGACCTTTTCCTGCTGCGATAGTTACAGGGTGTACCATCAGAAGCTTGCAGATCAAAATCAAAATCATGCTCTGCTGAGGTAATTCCTAAAACTTCTTCATGCTATCTATACCATATTATCGAGTTTAATTTGGTTTAAGAAATCGTATCTCCGTGGAGATTTAAGAACCTCGATAAAGAAGACTCCATTGTCGGTGCATACACTACATGAACTGACTGGTGAAAACGCAGAAGTCTATTACCAAGCGCAGTTTTGTAGAGATAATCACCTTATGTTGTTGTTATTTGTATCATGTTGATACCTTTAACAGAGACGTAGCTAGTAATGGGCCGGTGACCCCCCTTTCCAAAACGAAAACAATAATAATAGAGGCAAACCTGTCATCGCGGTAAAAAGAGTCTTACTTTATAGATTTGTACCTCGGACGAGTGATTGAAACTGCACAGGGAGAAAATTCAATTGGCCGTGTTGGCATCAACCGCGCTACAAGATATTGGACAGGCGCCATTGTCATTTTAGAGCCACCATTCTCCATCAACAGAAGTGGCACAATTCGAAAAAGAAAAAGGTAAATTGACGCGAGCAATTTTGTCTCAGTTGTTGCAGTTTCAGTCGCCAATCTATTATGTTCTAACAAAGGAAGCTTGGTTGTGGCGTGGGTGAGGAGCTGGCGGAGGAACCCCTTACCCTCTCCGCGATGAAAAGTCCTGCCTTCACCACTGATTTGTTGCTTGAAAACTGTGATCAGATGGTGTTGTGCACTGAAAACCATACGCAAACTGGCTTTTCCATTTATCACCAAACTAAAAGATGCGTCGTGTTCCTGGATTTACCCCAGGCTATATTTATCGAAGAAAAAATGGGTATTCAGCTATAAGCGTGTGCGTGTTGTGAATGTTGCAAGATATGATAATTACATGCTAAGTAATTCCTATTTAGCTTTTTGCTTTTGGCTTTTTCCTATGACAACCTTATTGCAATTAGGTTTACGCAATATTGCCACACGAGTAAATGATCTCTGTAGAGCGTGCTGTATCAACGAAGTTTAGAAGTGTTGGATTAGCGAACTCGCGCGTGTTGTGAACATCGCTAGTGCACGCGTTACTTCCTAGGAAGACCTTATGGCTCTGCTTCGCACACTGACAATTTTGTGCCTATTGTGGCATACGTCCTTGGTTCTGCGACTGATGGATGTGCACCCCACTTTTCGCATATGCTAGTTAAGAGAAAGCTACTAAGAAAACACACGGAACTTACAAACCCGTGATTGCTTGCAGTTGTCTGATACCATCCTGCAAGCCTCTCTGGCGTTGGTGCTAATCTACCTATCAAACGATGTTCAATTGAATCCTGGGCCTCTGCCCAAGGAAATATGCTACTCGTGTTCAACATCAATAGCTGCAGAGCACCGTGCCATTCCTTGCAACATTTGTTCTCAGATGTCACGGCGAAGTACGCGGGATTGTCGGTGAAGGATTTTGTGAAGTGGAACTAGAGTGCCACCACAAGTGGTAATACGTGGGTCTGTTATAAGTCTCTGTGGCGTCACTTGAGTTACTGAAATGGAGTCTCGATAGGTAAGCTTCTGGTCCTGATGATTTATCCATATCACTGGACACAAACACCGATTAGCCTGGTGACGATACAGTAGAGAATCTGAGACCATCTACAGACAAAGCAACTATCGGTAGCTTGAATATCAACAGTTTGACCGGGAGATCTGATTGGCTGTCGGGAACGCCGGAAGTGAAAGCGCTAAAATCCTCGCGCGGCCTTCTCGATCACCTTCGCGAATGATCCGCCATTAGCAGAGGGGAGAGTAACTGTTTATGAATTTCCATGGACATTTTAAACGATCGCTTATGTCTAGTCCTTGGATTTGCTGGAACGTTGTTGAATGATGTGAATGGATTGCGGACAGAGTTGAAGGGTTTCAACTGGCTTCATAGATCGATCAATGACACCGAGCGAAAGCCGGAAAAGTTCGGTAGTGAAACCTCGATAAAGTGTATGCCTTGCTGCCCTGTTCGTGTGCAGAGTTCCTCGTTACTAACCCTTGATCGATGACTGAAAAATGGAACGAACCTGACTAGCAAAATAAAGAGGACAGCACTTTTCTTCTTGTTTACATATCTGGTTTATTCACGTCAAAAAACGTAAGCAACTTCGTAAGTACACCATTGTACTTTGGTTTTGAGTTTTATTCCTTGCCTTTTCGCTAGATTTTTGGTATACCTCAGCTACGGTTTAGCTTGATAATCTTATAAATAGTACTTCATATAATTTACATTCTCTGGGTCATTTCCTTCAAGGACATCATAAGGTTACATAATGTTTTGTTTTACTGTACGAGTACAACACATTAAGCTTACAGTAACCCCTGTATGTGTTTGGACCCCATAACTTTAGGATTCCACCCCAGATACGGTCCCCGCCTTTGTTCTTGGAATACTGAGATGCCACCATAAATCACCTTAAAATAACTTAAAACCATTTGTTCGTTTGTATTGTATTGCACATTTTACATCACCATAACCTGAAACCACACTCTACTTTCTTTCCACTTCATGAGTAAAATTCTGACAGGAAACGCAAAACAAAAAATATAATTTTTAGTGCGACTACATAAGAGCGGATGTATGAGAGCTAACAAAAATGAAAATTGAACCTGATGTCACGTTATCAACTCTATAGCTCCCTGCAGCTGCTTGGAATTACTCTGCAGGATAAAGTGGGGTCTGACTAGTGTAAACAGCTGAAGAGGACTCTACTCTTTATTTACCCGTTATTAAGCCATCATAGGTTGAATCACTCTCGGGGGGGGGGGGACTTTATGAATTTCTGGGTGGGAATGTGCCGCTGGAACCCTGGAACCCTTAACCTATACCAGAGCTAGTTCAGCTGAATTTTGCTACGCTATGCTAGAGTAAACTCCCCAAGTCCCCCCTATCCTAGAGTAGCTGTTTTCCAGAAACTACTGACGTCACTAGCACAGTCTAGCCAAAAAGACCTTATACCACAATCCCTAGTCTAGATAAAATCTTCAACCAACTGATCAGTTTCCTAAAAAATGGTACTCTATTCTAGACCCAAACACTCTGATTTATATATATATACCCTATCCTAGAGTAACTGCTTGAAAACCATACCCTTCACAGTGGCACATACAAAATAGCCCACATATGGCAGTACCCACCCCCCTGGGAATCACTCATAGTAACTTTCTTTAAAAGGCAGGAACAAGTCATTAGCAAAAATCACAACTTTGATTTCTATTGAGGATGTGTATATTATGAAACATTCAAAGTTCAAGAAGAAAATATGCAATTGTAACATTTCAAACAATCACTTCGTGAAATTTTTGTGAATATAAAACATTAAAGCATGACAAAACTTTAACAGTATTAATTTCATTTCAGCTGGTTTTTAAATCAACAGGGGTAAAGGAAAAAAGCCTTCAGAGAAGCATTTGGACGGCTCAACGAAATGCGCCCCTATCTGGGGAAGGTGCCAGTTTTGTGCAACACTGCAACGGCAGATAGAGGAACCCAACAAAGACAACATACGATTTTCAGTCACACAGACCGATAAAGAGCTATGTTGTCTAAATTGCGTTGTGACAATGTTAAGAAAAGAGGGGAAAGATTGTCCCTACACGATTGTTTTTTGTCAAACGGTGTTTGACATTGCACTGATCCTCAGCTACTTCCTGACAAACCTGGGTGAAGATGCATATGTTGAGGGAGAGGCACCCTTGGCTGAACGCTGCCTAGTTACTGTGTACTACTCAGTGACTCCAGAGAAAATGAAAGAGCGGGTTAAGTCATCATTTGAGAGTGGAGCTGACACAGCCAGAATAGTTATTGCTACGACTTCTTTAAGCGTGGAGTGGACCTTCAATGTGTCACTTATGTTGTTCACTTTGGTCGCTCAGGAGATCTGGTCAGCCATTTGCAGGAAGCAGGGCGTGCAGGCCGTGATGGCAAGTCTCAGGCTCACAATGTCATAGTGTATCTTGGGAAACATAAGGCACTGTGTGACAATGACATGAAAACTGTCCTTAAGTCCGAGGAGTGTGTAAGGAAGCTGCTTCTCTCCCCTTTGATGATGACTCTCATGTAAGCCCGAAGCACAGATGTTGCAATCGCTGCCACAGTGAATGTGATTGTGGCATAGACAGTGGTTGTGCAGAGCCTCTGCCTGTTTTTGACCAGCCGCCTGCAGTAAAAAATCACACTGGTCCAGTAAGAGTTGTCACAGATCAAGACAGGGAATGTCTTCGTCCTGCAATGTTTGAAATAAAAAACAATCTCAAAGTACAAACCAGAGTCTCACTGTTTGATAAAAGTGGGACAATATCACATGGATTCTCGAAAGAAGTTATTGAAACCATAGTTTCCAACTGGGAGAAGTTGTTCACCACTGTGGACATATTCCAGATGTGTTTTGTGCCATCTCCCCAAGTTTGTGCAATCATCTTGGATATCTTGAATGAGGTCTTTAGCGATATCGACCAAAATGACATTCAACATCAAGCATCTGAAGTAGCAGAATTCATGGTATCTCATTTGCTTAGATAAGATTTAGACATACCCTTTGAAGACATGTCAGACTGTGATGATGATGACTGGCTGTAAACAAACAGAATAATGCCTCACTTAAAAAAAGATTTTTTTTATGATGGTGAACACATGACAAGAAAAAGTGACATGCAAGTTATGTAGTTACTAGTTTGACAACCAGTTTTAAAACGATTTTAAAGGTCGGTTTTATTATGATGATGTACACACGACAAGAAAAAGTGACATGCAAGTTATGTAGTTACTAGATACAAGTGGCACAAATAAAACAAAAAACAAAAGAAAAACGGGTTACATGTATTTCAGTCTTCTTTGTCAGAGAAAAAGTACTGTTTTGAGGATTCTTACAATCTTGCTAGGACATTATATCCTTACAATTCAAAGCAGCTTGAAACTGAAACCGTCAATATTTAAGGAGCTGGGCATTCTGTTCGTTTATGCTAAGCCCAAGCTAAATTCTGATATAAGATAAAATAACGAGAAAGATCCAGGGAAGAAGAGTCTTCCAAAAAAGAAATGGCTTCGTCGAAAAAAACGTTCGATCGAGTAGAGTAACGCAAGTGGGAGATAAACCCTTAAGTTTCTCTAAAAGCTATCCAAACACTCACCCGCAATTCGCACCGGCGCCTTTCGTTAACTCCAAAAATATATCGTCTACTGGCATGGTTTGAACGCACAACACATGTATCTCCTTAAACACTTCAACTGGGAAACTTCTTTAAAATGAAAACTAAAATACTCTGAAAAAAGCACACAAGAACGAAGAAATGTGCAGTGAATCGCCGTAAATAAAATGGCGTCTTCCTGCTCTCTAACAGCCGTAAAACACGCGAGAGCTCGCGAGTATCGCGGAACGGAAGTAATTCTGATTGGCTGATTCGGCAAGTGTCAGTCAATCAAAAAAAGTGGGCGGCAGACATTTCGTTAAAGGTTTGTATCAGGCTCTCTTTTCGTTTCGCCTTGCCCGCCGGTATATAATTTTCAAAGCGAAACGAAAATGGAGCCTGATCTCAGGTTAACCTCCGTCCGCAGAGCCAACATCTTTGGAAGCGCCTCCGCGTCCTTCCTCTGTACCGCCTGTCGGTCAAGCAGCACCACCGTTTGCAGTGCCGCCACCATCTACTGCACTGGCACCAATCGTGAATCCTCCAGTAGTGGTTTCAACAACGTCAGAATTCCGAGTTCCATACCCATCATCACTGCCAGGGTAGTTAATTGTTTATCCTCTTAAGTTTAGACCACCTCAAGTGAGTGTGTGTTATGGCTGTTCCAATAGCCTTGAGCCAGGAGGGCAGATTCCACTCCATCCTCACGATATTGTCATAGTTGCTAACATGATGCTAAGCTTTCAACAGGGAAGGCAATTTAAGGGGAAGCAAAGTAATGGCTACCTTTTTTGTAGTCCAGCGTGTATTAGGGCTAAACAACCAGTTTTCACCTTTTGCAGCATACCCTGGTATTATCATACCATACTTACCGAGCAACAGCTTGAGCTTTTTAGGAATACGTTAGTTAACATGACTGTGCCGTATGTATATACTGAGTAAAATGAAAGCAAAACAGTAATCAATTCAAGTTCAACTTAATTCGCATGTAATATTTGTGATTGATACAGTTCTGTAAGAGACTATTTCATACACTATTATTTTTAAGTTCTAAAAATGCTTGCACTGCGTTAAAAAACGAGTCCGGATATTGATGGAACTAAATATTTCATAGTCCTTTCGCATTAACTCGAATGTTGATTCAAAGTCCCCACCTAGAATTTGAGACACGGGAGTGCACATAGGTTATAGCTACTTAACTAAATTAATAAATTAGTTAATTAATTAATAGAGCTAATTAACAAATAAAGGCAAAGTTACATATAACAGTCAGAGGTGAGTTTTTGTTTTAGACTTGACGATGCACGTTTCTAATCGTTGTATTTCAGTTTTATTTCAATCTTTAAACAGTGGAATTAATTTAGTTCCTCCCATTTTCTAATCATAAAACAAAGGAGTCAGAGGATTGTGCACGGTCAGAATACTACCAAAGTCTAGATCATTACCAGAGCCTTCACTGGTTTGAAAACAACTTTTAGTATCTCAGTAACCTTTTTTTTCAAGTCTATTTTATTCCGTAATTGACTTTGTATTATTAAGTGAACAAGTACAACACCATCAAAAGTTAACATTTCAGTCGCTGTTTTTGTCATTGTAGCGTGCGGGGGAATGAGGGTTGGTGATTTACGAGTTATTACAGTGTCAGGCTCTCTTTGTTAGCGCTCAGTTACTACTTATTCAATAAATATAAATTTGTTCTTCACAATTCACGCTAAAAACTGCCACGAGACGTCATGGTTTGTTGGGGCCGGACTGGGCCGTTACTTTCTTCTTTAGTCATCCCTTGGTAGAATGAAAGTAGTGTCGGTCGTCTATTCAGCAACCATTATGATGCAAATGAGGAATGACATCATCGGAAGTCGTCGGGAGTCGTTGGCAGTCGTTGGAAAGGGTCGTCGGAGAGGCTCGGTAGTCGGAAGTCGTCGGAGCAGAAAAGTAATTAAATATTCAAAGACCAGTCAATTGATGTAGTGTGTTTCCTTTCTTGCTGACAATTAGAAGTGAAAAAACAAAAAAAAGGAACAACAACAAAAACAACAACAAAAACAAACAACAAAAACATCCACTGTTGGAACAGTTGTTGTAAAATAAAAAACTATAATATGCTCTTCATTTATTTAAACTTGCATGCTGAAATTATTTGCGTGCAGGCAAAAAAAAAAGTTGTGTAATAGTCACTGACGTCAAACAAGATGGCCGACTAATCCCTTAGACACTGGAAGGATTAATAAGGGAAAAATCAAATTGGCAAAGGGTTTTCCAAGCGAAAAGAATAGTCAGCGCTGGCAAAACAGTCCTTGCTAAATGTGTTTTGTGGCTTAGAAAGAAGGACAACAGAAAAAAGGCAGGGAAATAAGAAAGCATGTATAAGAAAAAGGAAACGAAAATAAAAAAACAGAGTAGAAAAATAAATGTAGGAAGTTTCGCGACTAGGGTAAGATTGCAAAATGCTGTCAAACAAAGGAGAAGAATAATGAACCAGCGTGAGGCATTAAATATACAAAATCAGTCAATTGAAGGAGCCGTGACATCTGTCATGTCCTACCGAAAAGCAACGCAAAGAGAGAAAAAAGGCAGGGAAAGAAAAAGTCAAATAGAAAAAAGAGGAAACGAAAATAAAACAAGTGTGTAGAAAGTAAAAACATGAATTTAGGAAGAAAACGTGCTTAGGCTAAGATTGCGAAATGGTCTAAAACAAAAGACTACATGTGCGATATGGAAATGGTAAGGGTGCGGTAGAGGCACATGGAACAAGGCGAACAAATCAGAAAGATGTTGAACCCAAGGGAAAGCGAAAGGAACCAATGATCGAGTAAAGGTGTGTTTTATGTATAGCAAGGTAGCTAAAACGAAGCGTCACTTCGCAGAAGACTTTGCTTGGAGTGAGTTTCAGTTGATCAACTAATTTGTATCTAAAGTTTTACCATGGCCTGCAGGTTCCCGCATCCATACCGAACAGAAAGAGAAAGTCAACCAAGAAGTCCAGACAGCCTGATGCAGTTGGCCCTCGAGGCAGTGCCGCAGCCTGGCGAGACGGCCCGAGCCTTCCTACCGCCCTGGCACACCGTCCGAATCGCGCTTGAGAAGCGCGAATTCGAGGAAAAAAGGGAAAGACACAGACGGGAACACGAAAGAAAATTCAGGTATGTCATGAACGAATTAAAGTATGTGGATGATTTGAATTGGACATGGAGATTGTTTCCCAGCCACGTGCTGCTGTTACAGTCGAACGTTTCTGTTGTTTTATAGAAAGGCGATAAAAGATTTTGAAGAAGATCTCTTAAAATTACTGAGAGTAAAACAGTAACACGGTAAATGTTTTTATTGTGTAGAAAAGCGTTCAGGAATGTAGAGCTACTAAAAGATCTGGACTGGTCTTTATTTCAGATAATGTATTGTGCAAAAAATTGTTGGATTTGCTTTGGAATGGAAATTGGTGGTTGGTGTTAGAACGTCGTTAAAAAGTAGTCGTTTTCAATACTGAAGTTATGTGTTTGTTTGCTCGTAGAACCACGCTTATGAATCTTAGATTGTTAAGAGATTTGGAGTTACCACTATGTATGAAAATATTTCTTGTCAATTATCCACTATAGAATTACGCTAAAATTAATAAAAGCTTACAGAGACACAGATAAAGAAAGATGGCCAGTCGATATTTTTTGTGGCTTTGTGAACAACGGCATGGAAACCTTTGCATCGTGGAAAAAAAACCTGAAAACTTTTTCCTTTAAATTCAGTTATATGTAAATTTTGTAAACGAAGTGTAAGAAGTTGATTTCTTTGTTTTAGACATGTTCTCAACCTCTTGAAACTGGTTCCTGATGCGTCTTGGTCACCGTCATTTACTGTGTGGTTCCTGAATTTCATTTCATAAAGATATAAACTTTCCTGCAAGGTTAATTGTTTTATGGTGGTCAATGTAGTGTTTCTTTTATTTGTATTGTAGACACGTTGGCCAGGAACTAAGACATTGAAAAAAAATAAATAAACAAATAAACAAATAATAATAATAAAAAAAATTGGGTCACAGGAAGTTTAGTGGAGGAACACAGCGAATGAAGGTGTCTTTGTCTTTCTCTTTTCTAGAAACTGTCTTCTCGACATACGAAGCCTCTCGGTCTGTCCATTTACCCAGTGGGTGTTCAATCATGAGCAGTGTCACTGTGACTACCGTTTAGGAATTTTTAAATTATTAATCGATGATTTCGTTAAATTTATGAATTATCGGGAGTTTGATCCCTTGTATGCGAATGAAAATTTTGAACGAGTGTATCGGAATATACCGGATGCGCATTTAATAGTGCCAAATGGCGATGAAGAACCGGAGGAACTCGCAGAAAGAGTATATAGGCGATTCCCTAATGTACACTAAAATTGTAAAACGCTGTTGCTTTTATATATTTCCAGAATTACCTTAGAAGAAATGAGACAAAGACAGTATTGTGAATTCTCCTGTTGGATAAATACAACCCGCGATGAGTTATGCACACACTGTATGAGAATTTTAGGCATTAGATTGTGTATAGAAGACATGACTGATCGAAATTTCCGGAAATACATGAACGCAACACCGTTAGAGAGAATTCGTTTGCGTGAAAAATGTGTGGAAATGTATTTTGTATTATTTCAAGAATATACAGCAATGGGCGGGGTACTGTAGGTGCCCTATACGTCCCATATTGTAATTTAAGGTAAAGAATAAAGAAAGAAATGGCACTGAATAATAACAGTGAAAAGTTATTGACTAGGGAGAAAGCAAAAACAACATGAAATAAATGTTGTAGGGAAAAAGCGGGGAAATAGCTTGAAGCGGAAAAAACAGCTACAATGAATATTGAAAAACGTGCAGTTTATCACGAATAAAAAATCCAAGGGCAAACGCCTTGACCTTCTGTGCCCTAGGAAAACGTGCACACTAGCACGACTTCAAATCTAGGAAAAACAAAAGCAACATAGCGGATTAATGACCTGAATAGAAACGAAGATTGCGTTTTAATTGATTTAAACAAGATGGCAGAGTAATTACTTTAAAACAAAAGGAAGAAGAGGTTAAGTGCAAGATTGAAGGAAACGAAACGTGACTTAAAGTAAGAGATTATGTAGAAAAACGTGAGAAAATTGAACACGTGCAGGGTAGCACGTCCGCGAAATGACTAGGCAAGGTAAAAAACGTCATAGAACTTTCCTAGCTCAGCGAAATGAACATCGTTTGACGTCAATGGTATACGCTCGGGTGAGTTTTGTATGCAAATTCTGCTCAAAGATCGAAGCTCTTGTGGACATAAATTGCGCTCAGTGAGCGATAGCTGTTCATTCAGCGAAAAGCAGTTGCGGGTGATAGGTGATCAAATCGACAAGAATGAATCATCAAGCGTTTGACAGCGAGATTGACGGTAAGTAATTGGTTGTAACAAGAGTTATTTGAAAACAGTGATGCCTCATTGCTTTGAGTTAATGTAATTTAATTTATTCCACTTTCACTGCAAAAAGAAAACTTAGCTAAATTACATAAGAGAACAATTAACTACGTACTAGGAAAAACTATTGCAGTGGGGTAGGACTAGAAGGGAACATAAGAACCATTCGAGCTAGTCCACCCAAAAACTACAACAGACACTTAGATAAAGAAAAAGAAAAAGAAAAAGAAAACATTAAAATTATATCTTAAATGTAAAAAACTATAATTGATAATATGTCATATCCTAGATTAATCTAATCAGAAAATAATTGTCACATCGATTACTACATCCAAGTGGCATGCGGGTAGTCAGGGTCGAAGCTCTTCTTTGTTTTTCAAATAATGATAGGCTTAAATTAGAGGTCCTGAGTTTATCAGGCGGGTTGTTCCATAAATATGGTAATCTATTGAAAAAGTGCCTTTGAATAATTCGGTGCTGACGTTGTTGATCTTTAACTTATTACTAGAATATGACCTTAATCTTTTATCTGTGAAAAAGTCAAAATATCTTTCAACTGAATAGGTATAGTAACCACACTTCAGTTTATAAATGTTGTTATGTCTTTAACGTCTCTTTGGTACACCAATGGGAGAAGATTGAGCTGCTGAAGGCGTTCATTGAACTAGATAGGAGAAGACGCGTAGCACGTCGTTGGACACCCTCAATAAGCTTTAAAGAGATAACCACCTCGCCCATAGTAAGTGTTAAAGACTATGCGGAAAATTCAACGGTAGCGAACTGTCTTGAAGGGTGGTGAGCTAAAATAGACGAGACTGAAGGGATAACCACCTCGCCCCATTGGCTGTTACAAAGACTAGTGGGAATATGCAACGGGGGCGAACTGTCTTGAAGGGTGGTGAGCTAAAATAGACGAGACTGAAGGGATAACCACCTCGCCCCATTGGCTGTTACAAAGACTAGTGGGAATATGCAACGGGGCGAACTGTCTTGAAGAGTGGTGAGCTAAAATAAACGAGACTGAAGGAATAACCACTTCGCCCCATGGGCTGTTGTAAAACGAGTAGGAAACATAAGTTGGGGCGAACTGTCTTGAAGGGGTGGTGACATCAACTTTGCGTTAAATTTTGTTTTCTAGGTCTTTTGGAAGAAGACAATGATGTCCTGTTAGCCGCAGCCCGTAGACTCGACCAAAGGGGAGGGAATCCCATCTTCCGTGCCATATTTACAGCGGCGGGAAGAAATCGTTCGTTTCGTGGGGTGGTGCAACAAAATAAATACAGGCTCACCTTCCAACAGCTGAGACCCGCAGACGAACATGAACCCCTGGGAGAAGCCCTCACGGAAGCCATACGTCAGGGGTTAGAACAAGTCGTCCAAGCAGAAAACATAAACCCAGCTCAGTATTCTCTACTTTTGGCCATTCATTCGAATTCCTTTACAAACAGCTGGGCACAGTCCGCACGCCATGTTCCTTTAAATGAGTGGCTGCACAATCAAGAGTATGCACGCAGCTATTTAGAGCAGTTAGCCCGCAGATTAAATTCAGCCCAAGTTGTGGACCCCGAGAGGGATGGGTTCTTTGTGGAACTGACGTTCGTGAAAACGTTTGGACGTGGAGGAAAAAATGGAGGAAAAAAGGGAAATCCAGGAAAAATGGCATGGGAGAAAATGGCGAAAAAGAAAAAATGTGTGATACAAATCAAAAACAAAGACGACCTCTGTTTGGCAAGAGGTATTGTCACCATGAAAGAAAGAGCGGATGAGGTGTCCCATTACCATAATCTGAGACAAGGAAAACCCATTCAAGAACGGTGGGCGCGTCTCCTGCATCAAGAAGCAGGTGTTCCCGAAGGTCCCTGCGGTTTCGAGGAATTGCAAAAATTCCAAGATTTCCTCGGACCACAGGGATACCAGCTCATCGTGGTTGAACCCTCAAAATGTTTAGTAGTCTTTAAAGACCCCACCTATAATGAAGCACCCCATGTGATTGGTCTCGTCAAGTATAATGGGCACTATGATGGATTAACAACTATTCCTGCCCTCATGAACAGATCCTATTATTGCCGCCATTGTGACCGAGGCTATGACAGAGAACAGGCACGTCACCATAATTGCTTTGGCCAAAATTGCTCGGCCTGTTGCCGTCAAAATAAAACCTGTCCAAACTTTGCCACCTGGGTTAAGCCTACCGTTCATTGCCCTGACTGCAATTGTATGTTTTATGGGCAAGATTGTTTTCAAGCGCACAAAACCAAAGGAAATAAAAGAGGAGACGAAAGTATGTGTGACAGATGGAAGAAATGCCCACTCTGCTGCGCTGAATATCAAGTCAATCCCAAAAAAACACACAAATGCTACCATGTAACGTGCAGAAACTGTGGGGAATTTACGCATGTCGCTCACCGTTGCTACATTCAGCCCATTAAGGCAGCCCCTCCACAGCCACAGGATGACTTCTTTGATGACCCAATGAATTTTAATGATGACGACGATGACGAGAGAGGGCCCCCACCCCCTCCTGTCTTGAACTTTGCAGATATAGAATGTGCCTTAACAGAAGACCGAGTATTTGAACCCAACTTCATCTGCTGGTCAAGTGAAGAAGATGAGGACATTCACCACGCCACTACCCTCAATGAATTTTTAGACGCCTGTGACGCCATGACGGAAGTAGAAGATGATGAGAGGGCTCGAAAAGTCATTACCTTCTTTCATAATCTTCGTGGATTTGATGGTAACTTTGTTCTAGAAGCACTCTATGATCAAGGTCGTGCTGTGGAGAATCCGTTGACCCAGGGGGCAAAAATTTTATATTTTGAA